TGTCTTCAAAGTACGGTGTGCCAGCAGAACGTATTGCAAGACGTTGTTTAACATTTGCAGACGGAGCGCGCGTGTGCAAGATTTTTTTTTCCAAGCGACCGGTCTATAGGCAGGAGACAACGTCTGTTTATTCCCCAGGCAATAGACCCACATAATTTATCTATATGTTTCGCTTTTGGACCCCTTCTGCAAGCAAGTACCAACATGCCCCCGCACGAGCGCAGAGCTCCGTCTTTATTCGTTTAAAAGGTGTCGCGAGTCGCGCCGCGGTGACCATCTTTCGGTTCAAAAAACGTTCACGTGCACACCGCGCCGCGAGAACGGGGAACTGCCACGCATAGCGGTCCCGCGCCTGGTCAATGCTGGTTCGGCCACGCGCTGCTCGCTGGGATACATACGCTTTGGTGAATCCTGTTTCCTTCGTGGTGCATTGATCAACTTTGGCAGCATGCTATTGGACGGAAGTCTGCACCCCCATTGGGGGCACAGTTTGCGACTATAGATTACTTTTTTCATGGACAGATGTCTGAATACCCTCAACAGACAAAGCCTCCTGGCCCGTTAAGCCTCTGGGAAGCGGGTTCAAGAGGAATCTGTGCTACGAGGGCCTGTAGAAGAGGATTCTGTGCTACGAGGGCCGTCTCAAGCGGAATCGGTGCTACGCTGGCTGCCAAGATGCCCCCGCACGAGCGCTGGCCGCGGGGGCGCGGGACCGAACGGGTGCCTCCCAGGCTGTCCAGGAAAGAACCCTGCCTCCCTGGTGCCTCCCTGGTGCCTCGCAAGCTGTCCAATGAGTCCTTTCCTGCCTCCCTGGTGCCTCTCAGGCTGTCCAAATGGTCCTTTCTTGCCTCCCTGGTGCCTCCCTGTCCAAGGCAATCCTGTAAGCGGCTTTTTAAAGGCCAGTCTGTGCTGCGGGCAGCCAACCGTGGAGCCCACCCCAGGCTCTGCCGCGAACCGGGCCGATCGCCATTGAAAATGTATTAAGAGTTAGACAAAATCCGGCGCCCTCCCAAAACCGGGATTCGATCGGCAATCCTGCGCGACGAGTCTGCCTGGTGCCTCCCTGGTGCCTCCCAGGCTGTTCAAATGGTTCTTGCCTGCCTCCCTGGTGCCTCCCTGGTGTCCACTTCATCCTTTCCTGCCTCCCTGGTGCCTCCCTGGTGCCTCCTGGGCTGTCCAAATGTTTCTTACCTCCCTGGTGCCTCCCTGGTGCCTCGCGGGCTGTCCGATGGATCCTTTCCTGCCTCCCTGGTGCCTCGCAAGCTGTCCAGTGAGTCCTTTCCTGCCTCCCTGGTGCCTCTCAGGCTGTCCAAATAGTCCCTTCCTGCCTCCCTGGCGCCTCCCTGTCAAAGGCAATCCTGTGCCCCGAGCGGCAGTTTAAAAATCAGCCTGTGCTACGGGCAGCCAACCGTGGAGCCCACACCCCGGGATTTGCCGCGAACCGGGCCGATCGCCATTGAAAATGTATTAAAAGTTAGACAAAATCCGGCGCCCTCCGAAAACCGGGATTCGATCGGCAATCCTGTGCGACGAGTCTCCCTGGTGCCTCCCAGGCTGTTCAAATGGTTCTTGCTTGCCTCCCTGGTGCTTCGCAGGCTGTCCCATTGATCCTTTCCTGCCTCCCTGGCGCCTCCGTTCCTACCTCCCTGGTGCCTTGCAGGCTGTCCGATTGATCCTTTCCTGCCTCCCTGGTGTCTCGCAAGCTCTCCAATGAGTCCTTTCCTGCCTCCGAGAGAGCCTTTAAAGGCAATCCTGTGCTACGAGGATGCCTGTAAAGGCAATCCTGTGCCACGAGGGCCTTTGGGAGAGGAATCTGTGCTACGAGGGCTGCCAAGATGCCCCCGCACGAGCGCATGGCCCAGGCTTAAGGGTATACTTTTTACTGTTAGTGCCCAGCCAGGCTTGCAGCTATCCTAGGGTTGTAAAGGGCTCGGGGGGCTTGCCAGGCAAGACCCCCCTCCGCTAGCTGGCGGCTCTAAGCTCGGCCAGTACCAAGCGCGACCAGGTCGCACTTTACTGTTTAGGGTTTTAGGGTTTAGGGTGTTCACCGGTCATGGCGTGCGCTTTTATCGGGGCGGCTATCGGTATGCTGTCACGCCGCCCCTCTCCATTGCGCACGCCATCACGTTGCGGGCAAGCCCACCCCAAGGCCACCCAAACACAACTCTTTTAGGGTTTAGGGTTTGCCCTCAGACGCCGGGCAGGCTTAAATATTTTCTTCGCCTTTGCGCACAGAGCCGACGCCGCTGCAACGAAACGAATCGAGACCGCAACGCCGACCGTCGGGAGGCGTTGCGGCCGACCGCAAGAAAGAAGAGAAGACCCGTTTAAGGTTTGCGTGTGGGTTGGCCCGCCCGGGCCAAAACAAACCTTTGGGGCCGTAGAAGAAGGGTCTGTGCTACGAGAAGCCTTCGAAAGGCAATTCTGTGCCACGGGCGCTCCAAGCGGCCATTTAAAGGCCGTTTTGTGGTACGGGAAGCCGGCCGTAGGGCCCACACCAGGATTTGGCGCAAAACAAGCTGGTCGCCATTGACGAGGCAAGGGGGCAGACCCCGGCGGGTCTCCGGCAGGAAAGGACCATTTGGACAGCCCGGCAGGCACCAGGGAGGCGCCAGGAGGCAGGAAAGGACTAGTTAGACAGCCTGCGAGACACCAGGGAGGCACCAGGGAGGCAAGAAAGGACCAATTGGACAGCCTGTGAGGCACCAGGGAGGCAAGAAAGGATTAATTGGACAGCCTGCGAGGCACCAGGGAGGCACCAGGGAGGCAGGCAAGGACCAATTGGACAGCCTGGGAGGCACCAGGGAGGCAGGAAAGGACTAATTGGACAGCCTGCGAGGCACCAGGGAGGCACCAGGGAGGCAGGAAAGGACCACCAGGGAGGCACCAGGGCCTGTTAAAGGCAAATCTGTTCGACGGGAAGGCCTGGTGCCAAGTTTAAAGAGGAAAATGATTTTCGGAAAATGATTTTTGCCTTTAAGCATGATCCATCTCCGAACTGGGGTTTAGGGTTATAATATATCTATTGTGACTATAGCTGGTTCGGCTCAGCCTGCAGTGGTGGCTCGAGCTTAGGGCTAGGGAGGCACGCTTCGCAGCCTAGCTTCGCGCGCCGTCCGCCTCGCTGTCGCTCGGGGACGCCCGCCACCTAGAAAAGAGGGTGGCGGGCGGGTTTAGGGTTTAGGGTTTATAAGGGTTATTAAGGGTTTGGGTCCAAATAAGTTTCCCTAATAAGTTTCCCTAATAGTTTCCTAATAGTTTCCCTAATAGTTTTGGTTTTTAACTTTTTGCCCTATACTGCCTCCCATGCTGTCCAATGGGTCCCTGCCTCCCTGGTGCCTCCTGGTGCCGTCCAATTGGTCCTTTCCTGCCTCCCTGGTGCCTCCCTGGTGCCCCCTCTTGCCTCCCTGGTGCCTCCCCGGCTGTCCAATTGGTCCTTTCCGGTGCCTCCCTGGTGCCTTAAGTCTGTGCCAGCTAGTCGCCTCATGGCTGCATATTGCTCTGGATCTTGCAAGGCGTCTGCCTCCTCCATCTGTGGAATTGTCAATGTCCAGGTCGCAGGAGAGCCAACTTGAATCCACTCATTGTCCCTGGAGAAGAAGACTGTGGGAAAGCCCAGGATGTAGTGAGCCGCCTCAAAGGTGGAGGTGGTGCGCCCTTGTGTTGCTGCATGGGCTGCTCTGTACACCTCGTTCGTGGTCAAGTCCACCCGGCCCAAATCCTGGAGGAAACCCTCCATGATGGTATCGATGCGCTTCTTTGCCGCAAGGTCTTCTTCTGACTTGAAAGCATAGCCAAGGATGTACTTGCTGGCACACGTCAGCTCACTGATAACTTGCAAGTCCATGCTGGCGCGCCAAAAGCGAAGGATGGCCTCATTGTACTGCCCCACCATGCCATCATCTTGGTGCCGCCGGGCTGCCAGGCTGGATTTCCATCGGCTATTGAATTGCTCCTGCGGCGTGCGCCACCTGCTCTGCTCTTCTGCAGCCCTTGGAAACCCAAAGCGGCAGCTACCCAGGGTGTACTTTCCGCAGTAAGGTCCGCACTTGCGCTCCATGAAAGTAGCCAGCTTTGCGTTGACTTTACGCCTCTTCTCTGGAACCTTGGAGTCATCATTCTTCCAGCGGTAGGCCGACTTGGTGCGGATGTATTTGTCACTGAGGTCCTCTGCGCAAGTTGGAATGCAGTTCTCCCTCACCTTGTCATCCGACCAATCCACCGGCTCTGCATCATCAGGCCTCCGGTTGCCGGCAACGTCAGGAATGTCCGCCCAAAGGAGGATGTGGGCGTGTGGGTACCCTCGCTTTTGCCATTCGATGCGCACGATGTAGTCCAGCACTTTGAACGGAGGCTTCCCCCGGCTCATGCCATGGTGTTGTCCGGCTTCATCCATAGCAGGGGCTTCTTCATCTGAGCCATGGCTGTCAACATCTGGGCGGTCTTGTTCATCCACATTCCCGGCCTCGAACTTCCCACGGCCATCGCCACCCTGGAGCCAATGGAGCATCTGCCTGAGGCCATGCATGAACTGCCGTGCAACGATGGCCGGCATGGAATTGCACAGCTGGTTTGCGGTCATGCCATCCCATGTGTGGTTTTCGTTGATCATGTACTGGTGCACGATTTTGGCCGCCTGCTCTTCCACTTCTTCCCCACCAGCTGCAAAGGCGTGATCCCGGAGGAGCTTGGCGATCACCACGGCCGCCAAGATGTTGGGCTGCCTGCAATGGCACGTCAAAGTCAAGAAGAACTGAGGCTTTCCGAGCTGATCATACATGCTCATGGCCACCCCTTTCTTGGAGTAGAGGTAAGGCAATGTGCCCGGCAGGTCCCTCAAGGCCGAGAAAACTTTGCGGTTGAAGGCTTCATACCGACTGCCCATCTGTGGTAGCTCTTGGCCTTTCATTCGGACATTGACGTTCCCGGAGAGGCGTTTCTTCATGTGCTCTTCTAGCAGCCACATGGAGTAGGAGGGGTCCTTCTCGAAGCGCCCGTCTTGTCCAAGCAGCCTCTGGCGAGCATACTCCGTGAACTTCTTGTTGGCTTGCTGGGGGTAGCCGCCCTCGCCCTCGGGGAACAAGTGCGGGAAGAGGTGGGCATCCACATTGTCGATCGTGTGCCTGGCCTTGCGCCGGAGCTCTTGCAAGGTCTTCAGGTCCGCCTTGGGGATGGTAGGGTCCCTTGCCGTGAGGTAGGTGACTTCGAGGTCTTCGTCTTCCTCTTCCCCCTTGTCGTCCATGGGGCCCTTGCTTTGTTGAGGTTCTAGTGGGGCAAGCGCTGGCGGGATTTGCGCCAAGATCCGGCCCATGTTGACCAAGGTCTTGTCCACGGCCTCGGAAGCTTTGCAGGCTTCATGCTGCAGCTTCAATGCCCGCAGGCCTGCCTGTAGGTATTCCAAGCGGGCGGTAGAAGCCATCAAGCCTTGGACGCCCTTCACATAGACCTTGCCATCTTCCCCCAACTCGGCCTCTTCCAGCAAATCGCACAGCTCAGGCTCCTCTGTTGGTATGACATACATCCTGCCCCATTGTGCGCTGGGGCCTCCGGCAGGCAGCTTATCAATGAGCACCTGGTCCACCTTGGCCATGGCTATCAAACGGCGCTCCAAGGGGTTCAGGACTGCCAGAGCTGGAGGGATGGTGGGAAGCGGCGGTAGGACATAGGTGGGCTTCTTTTCCCGGCAGTTTCTGCACGCAACTTGTCGCGGTTCTCCTTCCGCCTGCTTTCGTATCACCTTGCAATGCTTTCCTGGTGTGAGGGTACGGCAGAGGTCACATACCTTTGACAAGCCATAGACCGCCCAGTGGCGCAGGTAGCGGCAATACTTCTTGACCACTTGCTCGTCAGTGAAGCTGTCTTCATCATGGTAGGGCGGGCCAACCTCTGCCTCAAGAGCTGCTGCAATGACGCTTGTTTTCAAACCCAACAACCTTAAGCGGTACCGTTCCCTTTTTTTGATTTTTGGTTTCATGAAAACTGAAAACTTAAATTAACAACCCGGCGCCTCCAGCTTCTCTGCCTTCACCTCCGCAGAATCTGGACAAGGCCCGCGCTCACCACCAGCGCCCCTTTTCTTCCGCTCCTCTTGCCGCAAGCGCTTGACCGCCTCCTTCTCCTCTTGCTTCTCCTTCCTCTCTGCTTCCCTGCAGTCTAGGTTGCTGCACCAACCGCTGCCACGACCTTTCCTGGTTCCAGTATTGCGCCGCTCACAAGGGGGCATGGTCGACAGCAGGGAGGGATACACAAATCGAATTGCAAAAAGCGGGCTTGAGATGACAAACAAAAGGCTACAGCATAGGGCGCAACATGCCTCAGTGAAGCTTGTGCTGACATAGACGACTTTGCGGTTGAAACTATTCCGTGGCGCCACAGATGTGGCTCAGAAGCTGCGTGTAGGCAGACGAACGGCGGCTCACGACAACATACCCCTTGTCCTGGCCTTAGCGTCATATTGGCTCTCTGGGCCTCAAGGGTCAAAGCTGAACGCAACCAACATAGAAAAAGAATAAATGGCACCCAAACCCTGTCTAAACAGCAGTTTTCAAGCCAAAATGGTCGACAAGCTCCCCTGTCATATGATTCCTTTTCCCTTGTCTCTCCTATACCCATACCCCTGCCTGCATCACGTTGCACCACGTCAGCACTCAAGACGGCAGAGGAACCGGCCCACGAAGTCTTTCCTGAGAAGGCGGGAAATGAAACGTGGAACCCTTAAGCCCCATAAACTGGTGGTAAAAATGTAGTCCCGATAAAATTGGTGGCGGTACCCTTTCTCAAAGCATACCCCTTTAAAACCAAAGCAGCGACTTAACTTTCGTCTCAAACACGGAACCCTGATTCAAGAACTCAACCCATATTTGCTTCAGATTGAAAGCAGATAATGTTGCAAGTTAAAGATTTCGACCGGAAAAATTATACCAAGCAATTGCCAAGCATCGACTGTATTTATTTAAACTAGAGGTGTCCCCCCGGCTCTTGAAAAGAGCCTACGCCTGGTGCGATGGAAATAGAA